AGAGAGAGAGAGAGAGAGAGAGAGAGAGAGAGAGAGAGAGAGAGACGGCAAACAGACTGAAAGACAGATGGACGGACCGAACGACCACAGACAGACAGAGACACAGAGGAGACACGGACAACAGGCAGACGGACGGACCAAACGACCACAGAGAGACACAAAGAAGAGACACGGACAGACGGACTGCTGGACAGACAGACACAGACAGACAGACAGTCACAGACAAACACAGACAGACAGACAGTCACAGACAAACACAGACAGACAGACAGTCACAGACAAACACAGACAGACAGATCTCACATAAAGACAGACAGTCACAGAGACACAGACAGACAGATATTCAGAGACATACATTTACAGACACAGACAGACAGACACAGACAGACAGACAGACAGACAGACAGACAGACAGACAGACAGACAGACAGATAGACAGACAGACAGACAGACAGACAGACAGACAGACAGACAGACAGACAGAGAAACAGAGATCTACGGACAGACAAACGGATGGATGTATGTACGGGCAGACGTTCAGACGGACAGACAGACAGATAGATAGACAGACAGACAGAGTGACAGAGACAGAGACAGAGACGGGCAGAGACAGACAGAGATAGAGACAGAGACAGAGACAGAGAGAGAGACAGAGATACAGACCTTGACAAGCCCAGGATACTCCAAAACAGGAAGTCCGAATATGGTGTGTTCATTGTAGCTCAGAAAGATGGGAAACCCTGCCATTGCACAAAGTGCCTCTTGTTGCTCCACCCTCCAGTAAGCAACCTGCAGAGAATCGAAGAAACAACAAAGTGATTTTCCTTCCTCCAATTCATTTTCATGTAAAATTTACTTGGCTCTGAATTACCTATCTGTTGACACTTGCATAGCTAGGTACTGAAAGAAAATGGGTCTGGTTTCACTGCTCTCCAAATGTGGAAAACGGCCTGCATCTTTCCAGTTTTAACAAGAGCACATTCACCATTATTCACATTTGGCGACTACTGGAGTGAGGGCCAATAATACAAACACCAGGTTGTTTCAGGTCCAGTCGCTATCCCTGATGCCCCGCTCTTTCACACAATTTTGAATTCTACATTAGGATTTTGTACACTGCGCTCTGACGTCGGCCTTGGGGAAAACGTCGGAGAAAACTAACAGTTTCAAATTTTTTCTATGGGTTTTACTACCAAATTGCTGGATACACAGTGCATAGTACAAAATGGAAAAGGCTAAAACCAGGACGAGCAATAGGAAGATCTGGATTACAGGTTTCTGCCTCCTTTCTGGCAGCATGGTAGGTACATCCATTTGAAGCCCCTATGCATGATTGTTCCCATCTCTACCATGGCTGCAAAGCATAGTTGCGGTGCACTCGTACGGTGCACAGTGCGGCGCGGGGCGCTGTGCGCCATGCGCGAGAGAGTGGTGCACGTGCACGTGCGCGAAAAAAAAAAAA